GTGGATTTGAACCTCCTGTCTCTGAGTTGCCAGTGCAGCTCCTTATCATTAAGCTACCCAAGCTACCCACACGCCCCAAACAGAGCAGGACAAAACTGCCTCCTGAGGCTTCCAGGGTGCCAAGTCTTTGTGGAAACAGTGTCCTGTCTTCTTCCAGGGAGCAGCGGCTGGGTTTGAACCATCAACCTTTCCACTAGTAGCCCAGTGTTTTAATGAGTCTGCCACAGGCTCTTTGGTGCAGAGGAGAGCTTCCAATATGCTCCCGGACTTGGTTAAAGCTAAACCATCTGAATATTCCAGAAGGACAGGGGAGGAACTAAAGGGAAACCTTCCTGCAGAATGAAAGGGCAGCCCTCACTCGGAGACCGAGTCCTCCAGATTGGCTCACAGCGGCCCCCGTCGAGCTTCCACGATGCTGGAGGCTTCCCATCTTTCTCTCCCGGAGTGGATTCAAACCACTCATCTTTTGGCTGGCAGCTCGGTATTACAACCAGGCAGAACAGGGCACGTTTACGAACAAGTGTGGTTTTAGGGGCCATGAAACTGACTACCTCACAGCGACCCTATGAACGAGGGATGTGAACCCTGCCCTGTTCTGCACCACCCTACCACCTCTGATAACGCCCGAGCCACTGCTGCAGTCACTGTGCCACTCCGCCTCGCTGAGGGGCTTCCTCTCTTTTGCTGAGAGGTCCAAATACCAGCTCTCATGCACCAAGTCCAGCCACTGCATTGATCTGATTCAACATAAACTACAGACAATTCAGAAACGGCTTCTCTGGACACCTGAGTCAGCGCACTCCTTTATTTTTATAAGAAGCCAGCAAGAAGTTAAAAAACAAAACAAAACACACAACCTCACACGGGGCTCTTGACACAAAGAAATCATTTGAAAATGAAATGACCACATCCTCCGAATGATGCACTGTTCATTCAGATCAAAGCAGCCCCCTGGATGGGTCCCTCTCCCCCTCATAGAACAGTCAGCATGCAAGGCAATAAAAAACGCCCCCAAAGACTCCACCTCTTGAAATATCAGGTGCTGGCTTTCTTGGCTCACAGACACGGGAGGGCTTTCTACACTCTTAATCTTCACACAGATCCCAGGAGTGCTAACGCTTAAGAATTTGATAAGAGAAATGAAATATAGATCTTTTTGAAAGCCTAACAACAACAACAAAAAAAATCCTTAATCTAGACACAAACCCACTCACTGCCCTCGGGCTGGTCAGGAAGCCCTGTGGGGGCTGTGGACAGAGCAGGACTTTCTCTTGAATCTTCTGCTCTCTCGTTGGAACCAACAGCCACCACACACGACCTGGCGGCGAACCAGCCACCAATCCATACATTATGCCAGATAATTAAAAATGCAGGGTTATGTAATCTTATTTAATGGTTACTTGGCTCGGATTGAAAACTGTCCAAAGCAATACTGGAGAGTGGATTAAATTATAATGCGTAAGACCTTTCTGAAGATGGTTTTCAGTCATGGTCAGCACATCCCCTACCAGCAGATATGATACCCGATATTCGGCTCCACTTTCATCACCAATTAACCCCATCAGCAAGGGGCTACTGAATCACTTCACCCCCAGGCCCAGCAAGGCCAGGGTGCAGGGCGCAGGGGAAGAGGGGTGAGTACCCAAGCCTGTTTCCTCTGATGCAGCTTTAAGCATCGCCCAGCCCAGAGTATGGCGAGGCCTCCTGTGGCAGCAAAACAAAAGTTTTCAATATTGGGGGGAGGGGGGGGAAGGAACTCTGGAGGTCCAGTAGTTACACACTGGGATGCCAACCCCAAGGCCAGTGGTTGGGTCTCACCAGCTGCTCCTATGAAGGTGACAACCTCAAGCACCCTAAGAGACACCTCTACTCTGTCCTACAGGGTGGCTGGGGTCACCATCAACTCAATGGCAGTGGGGTTTCAGAAGTGGCAGAAGCAGTTACCCTGGGAAAATGCTTTTGAAAGCTAAAGTCAGCAAATAACGTTCCTCATGAAGACACAAGCTTTGAAACGTATGAAAGCAGACTTGGACTTGGACTTGCCAAAGACTGTAGAGCTCAGCATCCTCCAGCTTAGTCCTCAAAGGAGACTGTGAGTGTGAGAGGACCATGTACTCAGCCGGAGAGCTGAAGTCACAGAGGGACGGCTCGGGGTGGAAGGAGTGCCCAGCTACTGACACAAGGTGTCCAGGGACCAAATGGCACAGCAGTCACAGGGCATGGGGGCGGGGGGTGGCTTCTGAGCCTTGGGGACCCTCGGCTAGAACATCAGCATCGCAAGATAACACACTGTGGTCCCTGCTTCTTTGAAGAAGACAGAAACTTCCTTTTAACACCAGAGTCAGTCCTAAAAGCTCACACTACTCCCACATGGGGCTCACCCCACAACAATAATAGTACACTAGTTTCAGCAAGGTTTTGAATTCGGTTGTAACAGGGGTGTCACCCATCTCACCTGCGTGGTGAAAGTTCCAAGAACAAGGGCCTGGGAGACGGGACCTGGGTTCCAACTAAATTCTAGTCTCCTCCCGGCAGGAGAAACTTGAGTCCTCCACCTCCATCCCCTGGAAGGTGGGGACTGGAGTCCCTGTGCTCCCAGAAAGCAAAAGTGAGGATGAGGAAACTTAAGAGCGCACAGAAAGGTCCTGTGAACTAGAGAGGGCTCTGCAAACAGAAGACATCACTAACAGGGACCCTCAAACCACAGGGGAGACCATCCTACCCCAGCATCCAGGCTTGCAAAGCAGACTCCCCCAGGACTCCCTGCTGCGCACAGCTCCAGTACAGAGGCCAGAGGCAGGGCCACCTCGGAGAACCATTGTTTCCATCCCTGTCAAACAGTCAGAAACTGAGAAAACAACAATGTCTTCAGAGAGGCAACACAAGTGCACGTGAACTGCTGACAATGGAACCAACCTGCTCTGTGCTCAGGCACCCAAATCAGAAGGAAGAGTTAAAAATAATACCATGAATCTGTTAGTAGTCTTTCAAACTCAGACACTAAATCTCAGGAACCCGCCCGTGAGTTAGGAACTGCATATGAGAGCATAATGGATATTTTAAGGAGCAGGGTTTTGCATGCTGGAGAACTGGCTATGACTGAAGGGAAAATGTTTTCGCCCCAAGTAATCTAGATTAGCAGAAATGAAAAGCATCTCCAACACTGTGAGTCGCCTTCACTTAACTTGCTCACTTTAAGAAAGAACTACAGTTGCCAAAGGAATGGCATTTTCGACGGGAAAGTAAAGCAACCAGGTTCTACCATCTAAAACCCAAAAACTCAGGCAAACGGCATCACGTCTCCAGTATCTGTTTCAAATACCAGAAGCCATTAACACTCGCAAAAGCACAGAAACCAGAAGAATGTTTGGCATATTAGCTACAAGAGGACAGCAGCATGGCCCAGAAGGGTAATTCTGACTTTCAAAATTCGACAACCGGCCACGCTTTCATTTAAGCTGTCTCCTTAACTGGAACACAACACAACTTTGATGCGGTTGCTTTATTGAAAAGCAGGCTCCGGATCCTACCTTTCGGATGCCAGCGACAACACACAAAGCAAATTCTTTCAGCCGGCTGCCCAGCAGGCAACAAAAGATGTATGTGAACCATCAAGAACCAGGGGCACAAACCTAACTGAGCAAGTGGCCAGAGAACCAGGGAACAACCGGTGGATTATTCAGTTCAGCACACACCCATCACGTTCATTCGCAAAATGAAAAGAAAGCTGAAATGAGAAGAGAAAAGGGGAGTTCCAGAAACGCACTCCTGCTCAAGGACTCGACCAGCGGGCTTCAGTTCCTGGAGACACAGTGGGCTGTGGACACCAGCCCCCATGCACAGCCCACCCGTCCATGCCAGAGCCGGTTACAATAGGCAAATGCCAGAAGCTGCTGTTTTGAAATTTAAATTAGACACCAACAGAATATTAGCTGCCTCATCTTCTACTTGCAAAAATCTCAGAGCCACGGTCCCTGCACACAAAGGTGCCTGCACAGAGACGCGGTGTGGCCAGCTAGCGGGCGGACATCTCCAGGAACAAAAGCCCACCAGTGATCCAGTTGGTGTGGACCCATCGTCCAAAGCCAGGCGGGCAGAGGGCGGCAGGGGGAAGGTTTCATTACCGTCCATCCCGGGTCACTCAGAGCCCAGCACACCCAGCCGGATCCTGTTCCGGAGGCGCGCCTCCATCAAGCCTGTCGTCTCTGGACTGTCCCCATGCCGGGCGGGCTGCGCTGGTGCTGAAATGGCAGAGGCGGCCAGGACTCCTCCGCCTATGTCCCCACACCCCAGCCAGCCACCAATGAGGGTCACCCGCCCACCCAGCGCTTCCCCAAGAGAAGACACAGCGCCAAGTGGGGGGCTGACTGTGTGCTAGCTGCTTCTCCCCTGTGGACTCCTCTGGGGGCAGGTGGGCCTGCAGGGTAGGACTTCTGTCCACTCCGGGACGATGAGCAGACCCCCAGTCAGGGTGGCCAGAGCCGGGACTAGGGAGAACGAGCCGGGGGAGGCCAGCGGATCTTCCACTGCCCCTCCAGGATGCTCAGGGTCTGACCCCAAACCTCTCCAAGGTCCCCAAACTTCGCCAGCAACGCAAGCAGAGCGCCTCTCCCAGTCAGTGTCTAGTCCCAGCCAATCTGCCTCTTTTCTCTCCGCAAGCCTTAAACTGGACACCCCCGTGCCCGAGCCCCCCACTCACCCCTCCAGTGGGATGAGTCTGCCTCATCCCCAACGAAGCCCTCAGACTGGCCCTGTCCTGCCCCCCACAGAAGTTTCCCTGGGGTATCCCCCAGTCCCCAAAGATTTCCTTCAAGTGCCACCCAAACCCCAGCCCTGTCCTTCCTCCCCAGACCCCAGAAGCTCGCGCCTGGTCCCCCCTGACGCCCCGGTTCTCCTGCCCCCACCGGGGGTCCCCTCGCCCCGCCACAGCCAGCCAAGCCCGAGTGGCCAGCGGACCCCGACCCCGACCCCGACCCCCGGAGGTTAACGGCCGCGCTCACCTTGGTTCACCAGCCGCAGAGCGTGCGTGAACGAGGGGTCCAACGAGTCCTTCTCCGCCATCAGCTCCGGCAGGTACTTGTCTTCCATGCTCGC